TCTGGTGATCATTCAGTGCAAAGTTCGAGTTGCAAGTCACAAACCTGACTGCTGGGCATACTACCCATGCGTTGACTTGCTCAAGTGTGGAAAGAAAGATCTTTGCTGAAGCACGCCAAGGGTCTTCATATCCAATGCGGCATATGTGTCCGCTTGCTGCTGTGGAAATTAATGCGCATCGCACCCAGTAACTTGTCCAAATAATATAAAAGCTAATGTGTATGCAGCTGTTGCCCAATCATCGCTGTTGTGCATGCTGTGCTGATCTCTGTTAACTCGATTAGGAATATGTAATTATGCTGCGCCGGTGGATAGCACAGGTGTTCTCAATATTCCCGAGAATGGTTCAGCACAGTGTAAACCAGGTCACACACTGAAAAATCCAGAGCGCGTCTATTGCCACCGGGGAAACTGGGTCAACTTCCCAATCTGCGAACGTAAGTGGAGGACCAGGACATGTTTCGAATATTTATTCTGACGATATCCAGAGGCCAGTAAGAGATAAAATGTGCGAAGGAGGAGAAATAGCGAGGAAGAATTGGGTTGGCCGGGGCCAGGGATGTAATGGTCAATTCTTGACTTAGTGTGGTAATCGTTTTAGTACCTCGAACCCCGTGCTGAGTTTGATACGGTTTCTGGTATCTTGGCCGTAGACTACTACGCATACTGCTTCTAGCGGTATCTTTGCATTGTACTGATTGATTACTAGTATATTGTATATATTTATTTATTATTAGTAGTGTTATTATTAATAAGAATGGCGTGACTCCTCTGTAGCCTTGTCATGATTTTAATTTTTACCGCCCACGGCCGCACAAAGTCCTTGGCAACAAAAAAATGAAAATCTCTCCAAATCTATCCAAACCAAACTTCAAATTCCTTTCATGGTTACTGGGGGCAAGACCATCTCATCGAATGGATGCAATTACCACCCGTGAGGCTCGCACTCACGCACACGCACACACACACACACACACACACACACACACACACACACGCACACACGCACGCTCACACACACACACACACACACACACGCACACACACAAACACATACATACGCACACTTTCTTTCTCTTCCTCTGTCTGTCTCTCTCTTTCTCTCTCTTTCTGGCCTCGTCACCTGCACATCTAATTGGCAATCACACCAGTTGAGACATACACTTCACGCTGACCCATCATCACCTGACTTGAGATCTTGCAAGTTGAGACATTTGTTTTTTAGGCTATTACCTGGCGTGCGAAATTGTGGGTAGGGTCGGTTTTTGTTTCTGAATATGTGACATTATCTTCAATGTTAGTCTCAATTCTTAGCACTAGTTATGATGTTCCTGGTATATTGCCACGTTATTATTATTACCTTTTTCTGTAGTTATATTGTTGTTTTGTTCACAGGAGTCACATATCCCTGAAGATGCCCTCTTGGGCGAAAATTTGGAAAGGAATTTGAAGTTTGGTTTGGAGAGATTTGGAGAGATTTTCATTTTTTTTTGTAGCCAAGGACTTTGTGTGGTCCTGGGCGGTAAAAAGTATTATTATTACAATAAAACCGTTTGAAAAAGCAGGGTTGAACTCGTAAGAATAAAAAAATTAAAAAATAAGAATTGAAAAAATTTGAAACTCGGGTATTGAGCCAATAATAAATGTAGAAAGGAAAAAGACATATGGAAACGAGTTAAGAGTAACTCTCCACCACTGTAACTAGATACTATATACAGTCAGAAGGTGCAACAACTAGGCACAAAACTCAGTACTCAGTCAGTTTTGTGCCTAGTTGTTGCACTTTCTGACTGTATATAGTATCTAGTTACAGTGGTGGAGATTTACTCTTAACTCGTTTCCATATGTCCTTTTCCTTTCTACATAAAAAAATTAATGACTATTAATTTTTTACACCTAAAAGTGTACAGGCAGGGGTGGTCGCTACACGAGCATACAGCCAGTTAGTCACTGCGTCATGCGCGAGAGGTAGTGGGTTCGAATCCAGCCTTGTTATGTGATGCTTCTTGTTTTTCTTCTTTTTGACGCGATGTTTCGGCTCAAATTGCCGACTTTGCCGTATTTTACACAATTTGGGCGAACTTGCGAGTCATATGATGCCTTTCTTCTTCTTTTGGGTAATGTATCAAGTTAGTCAATGTGATGGTAGTAGTCTGGGCCTCCATTTCCCAAAAAGTTGAAAATCCCAGTTGCCAGAGCTCTAAAGTTGTGGAACTGGCCATTTGCCATATTTTTAGCAATTTGCCCAGTGGCTGAATGCCATACCCCTATAGCGGTAGAAGGGAGCATGTCTGAGAAAATCAGAAAAGCAGGGCTGGGTCATCTTTCCGATTTCGACGCCTTGGAACTGGGGACCACCTCAAAACCGGGACCCAAAATGCGACTGGATTTTGGGTCCAAACGAGCGCTGGTGCAGTGTCCACAATGGAGCTAAGAACAAACCACCGCTATGGCAACATTACCTCACCTGAGTTGTCTTCACATCACTACCACATCGAATCAGGGCTACATCCAGGAACTAGGGGTGAAACGAGTATCTATTTTGACCACTCGATCACTCATTCATAATATTCGATCGAGTATCCGATTATTTCGAGTATTTTATCAAAATTCAATAGCACTAGATTTGTGAGTTCTCGACCAATTCGGAAGAAATTATCTGTGAACATAGAACAAAAGCCGCCAACGTCTTGTGTAAAGTACTGATTTTCACCAGTACAATAGTACTTTCATGATCTCATAACAAACTAACGTTACTTGCCGTGGTGATCGCATCGTCCAAGTCATAAAATACTGACTCAAATGCATGCATAACGCATGCATACCAGTCGATGAGCGGTGCAACAGAAGTTTTTTGAAAAAATAGAATGCCAATACTAAAAAAATGAATAAAAAATAAACATCGAGTGCAAAATTTCGAATACTCGCTCGTTTGAAATTTTCGAACGACTACTCGAATATTCGAACTAATCGTTTCACCCCTACCAGGAACACAATGGCCATCATCGCCAAATATCACTAAATTATTATTATTATATTTATTATTTTGCTTGTTCGCGTTGGCATCAACCTGCATAAAGCAGGTATATAGCCTTCGCTTAAGCTGCCATAAAAAAGAAAGCTCATCCTAAGCGAGAGGGCTAGAGGGAAATATAACGATAACGAGATACAGAATACAAAGAAATCCAATGAGTTCAACGTACAATTCAAAACAAGAAAGAAAGGAAAGAAAAACAGAGCCGAATCCACCGATTGATCCATCAATCGACAAAGGGGACTAATCCGTTAGTGTTGCAAAGTAGAAGCTGATTATAGTTGCAGATCCCCAGGCCAGGGCCAGCATATTGCCGATTCTGGATAGGTCTCCGCAGCATTTGATGTGGTAATTATCATAATGTTTGATAAAATTGTTAGAGTATCTAGTATCTAGAGTACCGAGTATCTAGTATCTAGAGTATCTAGTGTAATTGTATCCGTTATTATTGTTGAGGGTATCTAGTGTAATTGTATCCGTTATTATTGTTAAGGGTATCTATTGTAATTGTATAACTTCAGCCATTACACACAGCACACATTAGTTCCTTCCACTTTCGACGATCCTGGGCGAGCTGCCTCAGTGCAACTAGATCCTCGTGTGATGTGAGGGAGTTTGTGGATCTGGAATTTTTAAGATCGTTGTTGATGGATCGCGGGAGTGTTGTTCTCGGGCGGCCTCGGAACCCTGAGCTTCCTACTAAATTGCATCGCTAAAATACCCAAATTACAAGGGCCATAGCGGGAACCTTTACGGCATCTATTTTCCTGGACCATATAAGAAATTTCTCCTCTAGAGAATAATACCAAGCTCCTTTGAAAAGCTAATGGTGAAAAAACAATCCTCTCTTGATTCATTGGCAATAAATAAGGTCAATTGTGCACTCATGGCAACAGCGAAAAATGATGAAAGTTATTTTCCATAACTTTTTCTTGCATGTGACTTTCAACAATTGAGCTTATTTATTGCCATTTTTACGACTATTGTCTCCTCGTCGCTTGTTTCGCTTGGGCTGTGTTTACATGAGAGGTTTCAACCCGAGTTGAGTTCGACCCGGGTCGGATTTCAACCCGCATTGTACACGAAATTAATGGCGCGTTTACATGACGCATTGTGCTTGACCCGCGGTGAGAAATCGTACTAACGTACTTCTGTGTGTATCTCGCGCCAGATTTGAACAGCACTGCACATGTAAATAATTTCGCGCGAAAATATTCACGTGACCATCCTGGACTCTAGAAGTGGACTTTTGGCGGCATATCAGTATTTGGTCAACTGTCTTCATGTGAACGCTCACCTATTTCGTCTATCGTACAGACTTTCAACCCGGGGTGAACTCGACCCGAGTTGAAATTTCTGATGTAAACACAGCCTTGGTAAAGCCAAGATTTTAATCTAGAATCAAGATCCCACAAACGGAGTGTGGCATTGAGACAGTATTGGAGAGATTTCTAATGCTCGTGCTGCTGTTATTCATACAACTTCAAGCAGTGGCTCCTAAATCCAGCAGCCATGTTTGTTTTAATACATGAAGGATGACAGAGTCTATGTTCCAACAAGTGTCTACATCATATTGGAGGCTGGCACACGTCCACATGAAATGGTAGGGATAATCAGTGTTGTGACATGTTACTTGCCAGAGTACCCTTTACTGTTCTGTTCTTGACTACTTGCCACGGGGTGAAGAGGCGTTGGAACGTTCTTTCCTCCATCACCTGTTGTTGCTGTGTGTGGTGCATGGATTTATGGTTCACCAGTCAAGTTCCATATGTACCATGGGTTCTTCCTTGCTAGCAGATGTGACTTTTAAAAGAAAGTTCCTTTTTTCCTTTTTTTACTAAGTCCACTATGCTCCCGAATGAATGCGGAAAGTGGTGGCGGGGCCCTGGTGATCAGCCGACCTTGGTGGTCTCGGCGTCTGCACAGACAAAGCGTGCCAAGAACCTTCTGTGTATTGTTGTATTGTTCTGCGCAGTCAATCCACCTGCAAGCGGTTACCGGGCAGGTGAGATGCATAGATTCTTGGGTGTGTGGCTTTGGTGGCTTCTTGCAGTCTGATTACACGCGCCTGGTTTAGTACAATGATGTTTTGTTCAGTTCTACTTGGATACATCAGCAGCAGTATAATTGAGCCAGCGCACGCGGAAATCGACCTTAGTGACACGCACTTCAAACTGAGAAAAACGCACTTCAAACATTCTCTGTTTTCGTGTGATGTGCGATATATCAGGGAAAATGCTCTATTTTCTAAGACCCGTAACTCAAGTTTTACTCAAGAATTTTCAAACATTTTTTGCATTGAATTCTGCATAAATCCATCTACCTTTATCCACTGTCATCTCAGTTTCTAAAAATATGTCACTAAGGGTGACTTTTGCGTGTGCTGGCTCAATTTAGTATGGGTGTAATTAATATGTGAATCGTGCGTGTGCCTTTCCTGGCTCAACCTTGTTGTTGAGTATCTCTGCTTGTTTGGTCCTGCAAGTTCAAATAAAACAAACCAAAAATGTGCCTGGCTCTGTGAAACGATCCACAACATTACCACATGGATATGCAAGCAACATGTGAAGCTTGTGACACAAAATAATGCCTGTTGTGTACTCTTGCATGACATTGCAAGACTATTTTTGTCCAAAGTTCAACGTCTTGCAACGTGCTAAACACATCTCTCACCCAATGAGTTGCCGGTTTCTGCACTGCAAGCACACTCGGTGCCATACATGCTTGTAGCCTGCAGAAGCCCAAGATGTTGAATTTGCGTGCTGTCGCTGCCTGTCGCAGCTGTCACTGCTTGGTGGGCATCACATGATGTGCCAAACTGGGAATGCTCGAGCCACCGATGGCGGACTTGGTTGACAAGTTTAGTTGCTAAGACACTCATTACACGGGGCAGAACAACAGAGACCAAAAATCCGTCTCGTGACTCCGAATTTCGTGTTTCAAAAACCACTCATCAGAAACAAAGTTTTTTGAAACACGAAACTCGGAGTCACGAGAAGGATTTTTGGTCTCTGTTGTTCTGCCCTTTGTGGTAAGCTCTGCCCCTTTTTAAGGTATTGGGCACTGTTTGCCAGCGAAGACTACAGACACTTTGTGTAAAACACTCATTATGGATGCGTTCATGCTGACCTTAGCTAGTTGGTCATACTACATAGAGAAAGCGGCAGCAGGCAGTGTACAGCACTGGGACATCAAAGCGTCCGCATATACTTTGCTATCACCCGGTATGAGCCCTCTGGTTTCTTTCCACGTAGAGTAGCGATGTCATAGAGCACTGTGTTATATTACTACCACCCCGCATCATTCTATTTCCTATTTTTATTTTTCTCCTCAGCTTCTTCTTCATAAGCTGTTGACGGAGACTCCCTCGATTTAGGCTAAGGCCTGTGGAGAATCCATAAATACAAAAAAATAAAAAAGTCTCGTGTCTACAGGGTGACACTAGCGATTCGATTCTCAAAGCATGTCCTGTTTAACCAGTTATAATGTAAAAATAGAAAAACACATGGGAACGAGTTTTGTGCCCACGAAGAGAAAAAAGTTTCGTTTATGGGTGGGTGGGTCAAGGGGAGTTTCGTTTTTGAAAAATATTGATATGAGAGACATCAATGTATTCTTGCTGTCAAGTAAATCTATTTTTCATTCAGGTGGGTGGGTGGGTGGGGGTCCTAACTACCGTATTTTTCCGGTTATAAGTCGACCCTTTATGACTGAAAATAGCAGGAGAAAAGGTGGGTGTCGACTTACAACCGGGATTCGACTTTTAACCGGGAATTATCGGTATCTTCCAAAAATAACCTGCACTGAATACACGAGTGCACCATGTGTATGCATTTTTACCAAGTTTATAGCCTTTTCCAAGGATTTGGATGTTTCAGAATCCAATGAGGAGTGTTTATGTAATTTGTTCATGTGTTAGTAGCAGGGAGCAGTTAGCAGTGCTTCGTTGGGCAAAAACTTAAAAAACGTAATTAAGATCTCTGGATACGGGGGTCAACCTATAACCTGTTTTGGGTGTATCGCACAGCAACCATCCAGGTCCGACAACAACAGAACTACACACACCGCAAAGGCTTCTACTTCATTTCGTGCAAACAAACTCCTAACTCCCGAAAACCAGAACAAGCATGATCAGTTCCTCACATGCGTACCTGAGGGGCCCGCATGCTCGGAGTGTAAAGACCACATGGTGGGCGTGAACACGTGTCGCAACGGCACGTGCATGCATACAAGTAAAGTGCGTAAAAGAGTTCATACTACATAACCGGGGTCGACTTATAACCGGTAAAATACGGTACACTTTTTCGTTTTGTGAAAATTATCGATAATGCCGGATAGCACCTAAGCCTCTAGGCGACTTCAGTACGTTTTCATGTTCTTCCGTGTTCCCAGACTGCGTGGTCAATGGAGCCAATAACCTTTTGGGAGCGTACCAGCAGGTTTACAGAGATGGGTCTGTTGTTTGCAGAGCAGGCCACAGTAATGTACCACAGGGCACGCCGTACTGCACGACTATTATAGGACTAGTACACTGGTGGCATAAGATTGACAAATGTGTTCGTAAGTTGTCTTGAGGTCAGGAAGAATGTCTTCTTATCAATCCTTCTTTCTGGTACCTGATTGTCAGCCATTCCTTCTTGTTGTCAACCATTCCATCTCATGTCTTGTTGTCAACAATTCCATATCAGATCTTGTTGACAACCAATCCATTTCATATCTTGTTGTCAACCCATCCATCTCATCTCTTGTTGGCAACCATTCCATTTCAGATCTTGTTGACAACCATTTCATTTCATATCTTGTTGTCAACCCATCCATTTCATGTATTGTTGTCAACCATTCCATCGCATGTCTTGTTGTCAACCATTCCATTTCATATGTTGTTGCCAACCAGTCCATTTCATATGTTGTTGTCAACCCATCCATCTCATGTCTTGTTGGCAGCCATTCCATTTCAGATCTTGTTGACAACCATTCCATTTCATATTTTGTTGTCAATCCATCCATCTCATATTTTGATGGTAACCATTCCATTTCTTATCTTGTTGACAACCATTCCATTTCATATCGTGTGGTCAACCCATCCATTGCATGTGTTGTTGGCAACCATTCCATTTCAGATCTTGTTGACAACCATTCCATTTCATACCTTGTTGTCAACCCATCCATCTCATATCTTGTTGTCAACCCATCCATCTCATGTCTTGTCGGCAACCATTCCATTTCTGATCCTGTTGACAACCAGTCCATTTCATATCTTGTTGTCAACCCATCCATTTCAAGTCTTGTTGGCAACCATTCAATTGCATGTCTTGTTGGCAACCATTCCATCGCATGACATGCTGCACAAGACAGTATTTTGATCATATCGCAGGAGAATAGCACTGTCAATGATTGGCACAAACGTGGGCTTGTGCGGAATGCACAAATTTTATCCAATAATCTGTTTTGCGTTGTTGATTAATTTGCTTTGCAAAATCTGCTTCTGCAGCAACATTCCATTGGTTACGAGAATCCGTGTACGCCATTGACAGGACAGGACATGTATCCGTAGCGACCATCAGATCTGATTGTCAGAAGCGAAATGGAACACTGCCATACTCAACCCTGGACCTACCGTTGAACGGGAGTGACTTGGCGTGGGGACCAAATTGGGCAGTATTTGGGGACATCTCTATCTTCTATGTAGATTATGGAGTAATCAGTTCGCGATCCTACGCTGACAATGTCTACCCCGCTAATTTGATGTTCTTGTGCATAATTGGTAAGTGTTATCATCATCAGCTTCAATTGGAACCCCCCCCCAGTTCAGCCCCTACTTAGTACCTATTTGCTTTCGTCCACATAATTATTTATTTTACGAGTTGGGTTTGTGAATAATAGGAAGAAAAAAAGCAACTTCAGTGCTATTCTCCTCACATTGACTGGTCTCTCAACCGAGTCTTGAGGTGTTGCAATATAAAAAATGTTACCCTTATTTTACTTCACCATAGGTGCAGGCATTGGATCATAAATGATGCCACAGCTACTTGGCTGTATAATACGGTATTACCCCGTAAGTTAGTACGTACTAACTTTTTTTTTTTTTTTTTTCACACGGAAAACTGAGCCTCTTGTACGGGCAAAATAACACATTTTGTGAAGTACGTACTAACTTTCGAACTTAGCAGCCACATGAGTACTAACTTTCGGTGGTGGTACTATCTTTCGGGGAGTACTTTTTTATCGGGGGTAAATGACACGCAATGGGAGGCCTGCGCAACTCTAGTGTCCGTGCATATGATGTATGTACTGTACGGTGTCTGTACATGTAGGACGGGTACGAACTTACTATCTTTCGGGGGGAACTGTCTTTCGAGGTGATAACCTCGGCAGTGGAAAGTGTATTTTTTATAGGGCGGTACTAAGTCATTGGGGAGAACTAACTTACGGGGAAATACTGTAGTATGAAAGGTTTGCTCCCCACACCGGAGCTCGCGCTATTCCGCCGACTTTACTTGACACTTATCTTGACACAAGTCGGCGGAATAGCGCGAGCTCCGGTGTGGGGAGCAAACCTTTCTTACAAATCATCGCCGAAGTCGCAACCACTACTTCGTATACTGTAGTATGATATTAGTATTGTTGTAACTCGCTTTTCTCTACCTGCTCCCAGTCCCGTGCCATCTCCACACTTGTACAAAGAGACGACGATAACTACATTTAGAAGAGTCTTTATTGACACGACGACAAAACACAACTAGACATGACGAACTCAAGACGAAGACTGCTTTTCCCACCACAGCAACATGCGCATGCACCAACATGACGTACACACGGCGTACACAAAATAACGTACTACAACATAACTCCCTCCCAAGATTAGAATCGTCCTCGATTCTAATAATAAACAGAGTAAAAAGAGGAAAAGATCACACAAATCACTCAATCATACCATACCAGTCACACCCATAAATAAAACCTCTGCCTGCACTGCAGATTATTAAAAAACTCTGTCCGCCCACCCAGAACACCAGCCACGATCGCTGTCACACGTGTGGGAGCTGATAACCTCAAAAACTCTAACTACTTCACTCAACACACCACCTCACGATCACGCAAAAATTCTAAAATGTGAGAGCACAAATCATAGGAATAACAAAAAGAACAGAATCCACTGGCTCTGTGGGGGCCTCTAGTTATCCTCATAGAAGAGCAAATCAAAAAAACGAACTGAACACACGTGCTGTGCGGGCGCCTCTTTACCCTCGAGGAGAGCAAATAATAATGAACAAAAATGTTGGGAGAACAGAAAATACAAAACTCACATACTCCTCACGTTCACAACAACACACGTACCCTCTCACCAGCGAAACTCCTCACGCCGTCTGCCATGTCGTCCACCATCTCCAGGAGGGCTGCTCAGCGTCGACATTCTCACTTCTGGGCACAGTTTTACGTCGTGTCCGGGACCATCCGTCCTTCTTCTTTTTTTAAGCTTTTCTTCTGAGCACAGTTTTACGTCGTGTCCGGGACCATCAGTGACGACGACTGCCAAGAGACAGGAGAGACGAATGATGAAGGACGGAGACGACGGACGAACTTCTTCAAGACGGACAAAACTGTGACGATAGTACGACTGGAGATGACATCGGGAACTGGAAGCGAAGGCTACGCAGGACGAATCCAAAAGTTGACAACAAATTTCTATCACCGCTGCCACCAATGTTGTAACTCGCTTTTCTCTGCCTGCTCCCAGTCCCGTGCCATCTCCACACTTGTACAAAGAGACGACGATAACTACATTTAGAAGAGTCTGTATTGACACGCCGACGAAACACAACTAGACATGACAAACTCAAGACGAAGACATCATGAACTCAAGACGAAGACTGCTCTCCCATCCCAGCAACATGCGCATGCACCAACATGGCATACACAAGACGTACACAAAATAACGTACTACGACAGTATTACAGTAGTATGATAGGTGAATATGATCAAATATGAACAGTAAACAGTTTCCTCTGAGACAAAATGCGATAATACTCATAAAAAAGGACACACGTCAGGCTCTTTATGAATATCTTGAAAGTTTTTTGGTTTTACAAGTATACTTTCAAGCCTTTTCATCAGGTGAAATACAGGCAAAGGAAAAGGAACAGGAACAGTGGATTAAGTACAGTAAGGAGGTGGGAAAACAGCGCAAAGAAGAAGATAGCTAAAGTAACAGCGAAAATGCGTGACCTATACACATAGCAATAATGACACAAAGGTGCCAGTGCGAGAAAGCTCAATAAGCTTGACATTTAGTGCGACAACAAGAGAACTACAGTAAAACCTGTGTATAGTGCAGTTAGCTTTTTTTGAGCTCCGTAGTTTTTCGCAGGTTTTGTAGGAGCCAGCCGGCAGCAGGCCGGTCTGGAGCAGGGTAGGGGCTGGATAGTTTAAAATTAGGTAGTAGATAGTTAGAGCGTTCCAAATGCCCACGTCCGGCGAAAATCGCAGTTGGAATTCGGTCTCTCCGAAAGTTCTAAAGAGGAACACGGGGACTTTCCACGTTCCACTGCACACGAAAACCCTCGAAGTTGCTGAGGCCCTGATTGAACATGGCTACTCCGACCTGATATCCGTGCAGCTGACCAGTAACTTGAGCTGCAAGGCCACGTTTCATTCCCGAGACACTCTGACACGACTTTGCCGAAACGGTTTCCATCTCATGTCAGTGGAAGTGCGCGTCACTCAACTGGTGCCTGATTCCGTGGAAATCCAAATTCACGATGTGCCTATCTGGGTCCAGGACGACGTTATTATCGAAAGCCTGGGTGTCTTTGGATCGGCCGTTGGGCCTCTTCGCCATGGATTTGTCAAGACGAAGTCAGGGCTCGCCATTGCCACTGGTATCCGCTTCGCCACATTCTCTCTTCGCCCCAACATGCAGATTCCGTCGTATGTGAAAACATCTACGAACAACTTGTTTCGTGTACGCTACGAAGGCCAGCCTGCAACCTGTCGTAAATGCTCACAACCGGGACACATCGCTGCAGATTGCAAACTCGCCACAGGAACGACATACGCCAAGCGAACCGCGCACACCAGAACAAGCGCAACTGCAACTGTCGGAGGGCAACCTGGTGAACTTACCGTACAGACCGGAGTCCAAAACGAGTCGCCAGACTCGGCACGCTCCAGCAGAAGGCCCAGCACCAGCCCGAGTACTCTCTCGAGTACTGGATGTAGTACGAGTGCAACTCCTGTGGGGTCAAATGTTGGAGAACCCGCAGTCAGCACTGAAGTGCTCGAAACGGATTTGAATTTGAAAACTACGAAAGTCGATGAGGGGACTACTGAGGTTACTTCAGCCCTGAACAACCTGACAGATACTGACTTAACTGAGCCAGACATGTCGTCCGCACAGGGATCGCTGTCAAGCATGACAGCACACCCCAGAACTCCCCTCGCGGACGTCGAAGTAGACATTGCAGAGCGAGATCTAGAACGGACAGAGCGACTCCTATCAGAAGTGGCATCAAACATCAACACCGAAGCGATCCACACTTGGTTCACGCCTGAACGACGAGGTAGGAATGCCAGCACTGAGTCCTCACCAGAGTTGGCAACTGGGGGGAAGAAGAAGGATTCCCGGAAACCAACAAATCTAGCTCCAGGCTCACGATTTAGTCCGCTTGCCAGAGCCTAATCGTGACTTGAAAAAAAAAAAAAAAAAAAATGCAGAACTATAACTATAATGTAACACCCACAGCACCACCTACCTCCTCGACCCAGTCACTGCGCCTCCTGGTGACTAATGCTTTTAGCTTAGGAAACAAATTTGGAGAATTTGTCCACACTGTCACACACCACAATGTAGACATCGCTGTTGTGACCGAGACCAGGTTTGATGCAACTATCATGCCAGCTAAAGAGATGCGAAAAGACCACCAACAATCTATTAGATCATGACTAGTCCACATTCCACGTTGAAAGTACTGTCCCTGAACATCTGCAGCCTCCGCCAGAAGCTGCAGGATCTAATGCAACTGGCCTCTACTTGTGTGCCCAATGTAATAGCTGTCTCAGAAACTTGGCTCGATGGTACAATTACAACAGCAGAAATGTCCATACCAGGTTACACCCTACATCGCCTAGACCGTTGCGGGAACTTGGGTGGTGGTGTGTGTATATACACTGATGTCGGACTGAAATGCCACCCCCGGCCAGATCTTGCCACACAGGATATTGAGTGCTGCTGGGTAGAGGTGAAGGCCCAGCCGAAGCCTTGTCTCATTGCCTGTCTGTATCGGCCACCTCATATGCGAGTGTCTTACTGGCAGGCCCTGGAAGCGACGTTCACTCGTGCGATGAGGGAGCCAAAGGATGTCATAATCTGTGGTGACTTCAATGTTGACTATAGCTGCCAGAGTGGTCAACTCTCCTATCTATCTGACATCGCGAATACCCTCGGACTGTCACAAAGTGTGAGTCAGGCCACAAGAATCGGAATTACGGGATCACAAACCACCCTGGACTTAGTATTTAGTACGTTGCTGTGCAGAGCCCCAACCATTGTCTCCCCAGTATCATTTAGTGACCATTCGGCTGTCATCTCTACCCTGGCAACCACTGCTGACTGTGCACCCCAGAGTGCTCAACCGCAGACTCGGCACCTCCGAGGCATCAACATGGAAATGTTTCGCAATGACCTCGTGGCTGCAAACTTGTGCTCCTTGGATG